CGTTGTCTGCCCAAAAGCGTGGTTTCATACTTTTGGGGTTGCCGTGTAAATTTTCCCAGGTGCTTTCCATTCTGTTCACAAGGGTTTGCCTTGCTTGTGTCCATTCTGTGCTCTTTGTGTCTTCTTGTGGGCCTTGGTGTCAAAAAATGCTCATCTTAAGTTGATTTGCTTTGTTTCCGTCTCTTCGTGCTCTTTGCCTCCCATGCACCTCCTAGTGATGCAAGTGGCGCTGTGGAATGCCCCCGACTTTTTAAGCATTTTGTCTGTCATTTGTGTCTGTCTCCGATGCCCTTGCGAAAAGTGCTGACGCAGTTTGTCAAGAAACATTGCATTAATGATGCAAAACAGTCTTATTTTTTGCTGTATTTTACAGTGTTTCGTTAACTTCAGCATACTGCCTCAAGCCACCAAAAAGTCTGCAAATCCCGATCTCGAGATTTTCACCCCCCCCCCCCTAACCCCCCGCCGCAAAACCTACCGGGGAGAAACTCAAAGCGATGTTCATTGCTTTCCGTCATCAGCTTGGCCCCCCGCACCCTTTCGGTAATATGCTTCCAAGCGCTACAGCGCTTTCCGTCATCTCGACTGCAAAGATAAGTGGTCCTTGAACAGGCTCCATGTTTGGAAGACAAACAGGCACCAAGCATGAAACTAAGTAGACTACTCGGGCCTTTCAAAGGTCTGCCCAAACAGTGGCCACGATGGGTAGATTAATTCGGACAAGCGCTGAATAATTCTTTTGATAATTCAGCGCAAAATCCAAAACAAAACTCCTCAGAAGATTTCCTCAGTGGAAAGAAAACCTCTTGGCATTTTACGCTGAACGTCAGTTGAAGCCGGGGTTTTCTTCCACCAGCGAGATCGAGGTACTGGGCGCCTTCAGCGTGCCCCAGTTCCCGCATCAGGTTGGAGTGTTCCCCTTCACGGACAACACGACACACGGTCTGCCCGGGTTTCGCAAAGGTGGGAGGCCGGTGGTTGTAATCTTTCTTGGTCTGGAATAGCCCCTAGGCCTCCAGTCGAACCTCACGTTCGGTGGGACCGGGGGCGGTGCCAGGGCGGTCATACCGAACTGGTTTGGAGGTACGACCACCTGGAGGTGTAGGGAGTATGCTGCAGCCAGCTGTGTCTCCGTGGACCCGCCCCGAGTGAGGTGCCAGTGCTACGCGATGCTACGCGTGTGACCACCATCCGGACTTCCAGTCCCAAACCGATGGACCCCAACTGGCAAATCACAGGGTCGAACCACCGAACCTCTAGGGTATGATCCGGAGTTTCTTTGGGGTGCGAATGATGAACCATCCCCGCAAAGGAGACTTGGCGCCCAATGGTGATGGATGTCTATACAAAATGATGGATGTCTTCAATTCCGATCCAATGGAGATGGATGTCTCCAACCCTGAAATTGAAAAGTGGTGTGATTTTTCGCTTATAGCTTCTTTTTGCTGTGATAGCTAAAGCACGCAAATCACGACCGCCTGCGGAAAACCTGAATCCAAAAAAGAGTCGCAGAATCCAAACGAATTACAAACGTCCCTCACATGCCATGCCCACAAATACTCAGCTAGCAACTGTCTAAAAATAACCCATATAGTGTCTTAATTGACAGAAACAAGTCCTGAAGAAGATCTTGAGCCAATGTCTTTCATGATCTTTCATGGATTAAACACTACGCAGTGAGGATTCGTTCGTTTCAAACTCATTCTGCGACCCTGGCAAGGTTGCACAATTTTGCCATCTTGCCTACACATGTCCACTTCTCGGCTATACCGCCTGAAAAAATATGTGCATCTCTCGCGTAGTGTTTGATCGAACTCTACCCGAAATCGGAACATGTCGGAAAACTAAGGACAACCAACATTTAAGAGTCCCTCATACATAAGCACTCGACCGTAAGGCTTTGAGTACAAACCGTATATGTCGACCTCAAAAGCCCCCACCGACCGTTTGGCCGGGACAAGGTCGCGGGCCTTCGAAAAAAAGTGCCACAGCCACGAAACGGTTTCCCACCAGTAGAAACAGAATACCATCAGAACCAAGCAAAGACCATACAGTACTATGTGAGTTTCTTCGATTTAGGCCTGCATGTCAGACTTCTCTCCGAATTCATGTCGGTGCAACCCTGCAGAAATCTGAACGTGGAAGGCACCAGGTCATTGGGCGTTGCCCTTGTCACTGAGGCTGCTGCTCGTCTGATGACTGCTCCTCCTCAGCGCTGCGAAGGGAACGACGGTGCGAACGTGAACAGCGACCTCCGCCCGAAAAGGACGTGCGTCGGAACGACGTGGTCGGGGAAATAGGATACATCTCACAGGGCTCAAACCACCTCGATCAGAAGGTATGACTCGACCCTCCAAACCGACCCCAACCACCTTCCCCTAGTGCGTATCTTCTGAGGTTTTCACCAGCTTCGGACTTGCACGTCAAACGTGACTGGACCTGTAGTGGTTTGGTTTTACCTATTAGTCACATGGAGGGCCTGGGTGGCTTGGCTGCTCCCACGCCGGAGGCCGTGGATTGACAGCGAAGTTTATGACCTTCCACGTCCGCCCTTCAGTACTCATGCGACCACCTGGTCGTCGGGCCTTTTCAGATGAACACCCGATTTCCCCGGAGGAAAGGGCGCGGAATTCGCCCGGGCGATTTCAAATGAGGGCGGGGGTGAAGGCACCACATGTTGAGATTCCAATCAAACATGCACCATATCGATCCATGTACGGGATCAAATATGGTTTTCACACTGATTGTCATAATGTCTGAATTCACTTGGAGGATGGCGACCAGGTCATTTCGGTGAACTCCGTGGCAACTGGAATCGCTGCTTGGCCCAACCGGAACTCGCCCCGCCCCGGCTGTGCTTTTGTTCACAGCAACGGCCCGCGGCTGTGCACTGGCGCCAGCCCCAAGGCGTGCCGTTCGCTCTTCTCCGTCCGAAAATCCAAACCTATCCAAACCTGTTTTTTACCCTCATCTGCTTCACTTGGCTGCACAAACCGTCCAACAGTCCAACAGTCCCACCCGCCCAACTTCCGGGCTGCCCACGTCGTCCGCGTTCTTCCTTCTTCTTCCGCCGAGCATCGTGGTAAAATCACTCTCGCTTCCCATGCCCTTCTTCCCCAGGAGCTTCTTTAAAGACCTCTGAATCCTCCGGACGCGGCGGTTTTGATGCCTTGAACTACGTCATGTCTTTTGATTGCTTATCATGAAAGTCGGGGATGTGGATTGCTGAAACACCGGCTTTGTTAGATGTTTTGTTCGTGTTTGCTTGTGGTGCGAACGTTTTTGTACCTGTCAGATATAAGGACAGCTGTTTTTTTTCCAGATCCCGAAAATCGTTGTCTCAGCCGCATCCTGGGCAAGCTCCGCTGGCGGAAGCCTCGCTCCTGGTAGACCATGCCTTTTGGGGGGTGGTCCTTCCCGGAAGCTAATAGCGATGGCCTCCAACGTACTAGCGATGACATCTAACCTAACCGAAAACAATCAAAGTGACCAAACCCCTGGTGGGATCTTTCAAGAGTCAATTCTTGCAGGGTCACCTGCTGCAAACTAAGTCGATTGGAAAAAAAACATGGGCGGGATTCGCCGTGCGTTCTCCGATCGAGCACGAGTGTTTAGAAGTCGAGTTCGGAAGGGGTGCAACTCGGAAGCTGCAGCTGCCAAGTGGTCAAAACCGGTCAAACTCATGGCTTTGGAGGACTTTTGAACATGGTTCTTCCATGTTCTTCCAATGCAAAAATTACATATAATAATGGGTGTATATATTATTAGGTGCATGGGCCTCTTTATAGCTCTTCTGTGGGAGGCACTCCCAACTCATCGAACAATATACTAAAAACATGTAACGCACTATATATATAATATGTATGTTCAGCCTGGAAATTGCAGGGAAGCTTCTCTTGATTTTAGACTTTTAAATGCTTCGCTTGAGTGCTTGAGGTGTGTTTGTTTTTGGGTGTATGGGCCTCTAAGGTTTTTTTTATAGTTCAGCTCTATTTATATACAGGGGCATGCCCAGGTACCCAACAGACAAAGAGGCTCATGCACCCAATAAGGTGTATATATATATATAGCATGGCTCCAGTTGAATATTCTGAAAATAAATTCAGCAAATCTTGGGATTGACCATTCTTGATCCTTTGCAGCAATGATGAATGGAGGTCTTTTGTAGCTTCCATCAACACCACACCGGTTTTTTCACCGCCGGGTGGCGTCTTCTGGATCATCCTCAGTTCTGGCCATATCCGGCCAGACTTTCATGGCAGAAAAAGCTGCAGTTGACATGCTGCTGTAAAAACACGACAAGGTACTAAGCTACAGGTTAAATGCCTTAAACCAGAAAACACAACACTATAATGAACTAATATAGATCGATTTATATAATATATACCAGGACCTTCCAACAGGTGGTTTTTGGCCACCTCTTAACCTCTAAGAGGCATCTTCCACTTGACACTGTGCGAGTTGGACATCCAAGGAAATCCAAGTTAGGAAGGTCCTTCCGGTCCTTTGTGAGGCACAAAGAATCAACACCATCGCTCCCATCCCACGTCGCACCATCTCCGAAAAAGGGGTAGATAACAACAAGGCGGTCGATCCAAGGGTGACCTCTTTTCAGCTGTAAACAAACATCACCTGAGTGGAATTGAACATGGAAAAACACACATCGTCAGATCGATGTCTTAAGAAAACACCTCGTCTGACATCGATCTGACGGCGTTTTCGAAAGGAGCGGCTCTCCCTGCCCGTCTGCCCGGACTGTGCCCGGACGACTCCCGAAGGCGACGTCTGGCCCATCGTCTGGTGAGTTCCAGCAACACTTCTCCCTAGTCCATTTGGTTTGGTTTTGGCTGGTTTTGGTTTGGTTTCGGCTGGTTTTGCTTAGTTGTCTGGTTTTGCTTAGTTGTTTGGTTTTGGTGTTTGGCCCTTTGGTGTTTGGTCCAAGAAATGCTGACCTAGGGCTCCAGCTGTACCTCCTCAGAAGATATTTGGACCCTCTAAACCAAGCCCAGTCCCACCGAACCTCACAAGGTATATACGACGGGAGCCCTGAGGTCTAATCCATGGATCCACATATACCTCGACCCGACGACCCAGCGATGGCCCAACAAAAACAGGTCTACAAAGGGTTCGAGGTATACCATATGTTCTGAAGGTTTGAGTTTTGGGGTCTTTTCTTCAGGTTCTCCCCTCCTTTCTGGAGGAGCAGCCTTTCCAACTGACTTTTGGTCGCCTAAGGCCGGCAAGCCTGGTTGGGGAATGAACACTGGCCCAAGCACAAGAACAGGTCAACGCCCCAACCAAAGCTTTTCCGGTGAAGCTGGCATGCACCATTTTAGAAGTGCTATGGATGAAACGGCAAAGAAGAAGCAAGTTAAAAGACTGAATGACCTGCCAAAATAAATCTTCAACTTTGCACCATCATTCATTCACCTATACATTCATGGCAATTGACAACTAAACCAACATTGGCGCCAAGATTCCAATACCTGGCTCGCTTGAAACCGTGGTGGTCCCTTCGCTCCGTCCGGTGAGGTTTTCTCCCGTCTCAGACGGTCACATGTCACGATGAACCACGACGCTCTGCCGGTCGATGGAACTCCAAACACCAAGGCTCTTTTTCGTACTATCCTCATCGCTGCTCTTCTTCTCAGGCCAGGGAAGAGAAGGATCGGTGTATCCTCCGAAGCGGATGATTTGGTCCTGGCAGATGGACCAAATAGATCACGGGGGTGTGCCAGCATGCTTCAGCATGCTTTAGCGAAGCGCAGGCGGCCAAAAACGAATGGTTTGCTTTGATAGCCCCTTGGGCTGGTTGTGTCTCCAGCAAGAGGAGACCCAGGTCGGCTGCAAGCCAGAGACCGGTACATCCGGAACGATGTCCTGGGTGGGTGGACGGGCCGTGAATCCAATGAGCAAGGAATCCTTCTCTGCATGTTCCCAATGGCTGATCTATAGCAAGCCAAAGAAAGACCTCTGACAGGTGATTGGAGTCTTCTCTATCGAAGAGTGCTTCGTGGTGTTTTCCAACTGCAGGCTGCAAACTCCGTCGCCAGGTCCTGTTGATAGATATTCTTTTTTGCAGTGCTGGGGGTGCAATGGACGTGGACCGAGAGCAGCAAATCGAAGAAGTTAGCACTTGGCCCTGTAGTAGTAGGAGGAACAGCAGCAGGAGCAGGAGCAGTAGCAGTAGGAGTAGTCAATGTCATCCAAAACGATCCAACGGGACCCTTGGGTAAAGTACACAAAGCAGAACATCAGTGAACTGAACCAGCAAAAATATACACTCCCTGGACCTAACATGGAAGTGGAACCACTTGGAGGACCATTTTCCTCTACCCATCTCTACCCTGTTTTCCACTTCCATGTTGGTTCCAGGGAGAGTACAGTGGAACATATCATAAAGAAATCAGGCATAAATAACATACTAGCTATATGACAATATACTGTAAATAAAACACCGGCTCGAGGCTGAGTGAAGGACATTGTATAACACTTTTTAGCATCCCCACACGAGAAGTCCCTTTTGTAAACAGTCTGGTGTTTTTTAGGACTGCCAAGTGACTTGCTGCTTGATGTATCCTTCAACCATCTTCCAAAAACCCTCTAAAAATCTATCCCTTGACATGATCCAGTATCTTTCCACCATCCTAAACCATTCAAAAACCCATCCCTCTTTTTGAACCATCTCATTCTACCACCAAAGACTTGGAAACCCCGGCCGGCTCCTTGGTCTGTGGATTCGCACCAGCAGGCTCCGCGACTTTCACACCTGGCGAGACGAAGTGCGGTTCCGCCCAATCAGGTTCGGATCGTTTCAGACGGCATGTCACGTGCAAGTGACAAAGCCAAACAGTCCATTTATAAGAAATGGAAGACAACCATGTGTGACATTTTTCATTGGTTGTGCTGTGTTTGGAAGATAAGAAATGGAATGGCTTTTTCCCAAACACCAATGGGACTGGCATACACGTGCCGATCTTCAGTCCAGCGCGACAGAAACGAAAAAACGGCGCCTCCGGGGAGACCAATATCGCCCTTGTCGAACTCAGTGCGTTGGTCCAAGGCCAGGGAACCCACGAAGTGCTTCCATTTCTTCATGGGCACCGCCTGTCGCACCGACGGTCCGGTGACTCTTTCGTTGGTGAACCTATGAACACCGGGGGTGGAAACACTCCGACTTCACTGGACCGAAAACCGGCGGTTCTGTGCTCTTGTTGGGGGACCTGCAGGAAGAGTGACGGAGGTTCCGTGGTCCGGATGTGTTTGATACTCTGAGGAAGATACGATGGCTCACGGAGTGTGGCTATCCCCAGACCATCCGGACTGGCATAGTACATTGACCGTCATTGACCCCTTTTCACCCACCCCAATGTAGGTAAATATAGTCAGTCCCATGGATACGGGGTGGCGAATCCCGCTGTGTCCCACCGCTCGCACTGCTGTCCGGTCCGGTAGACGGATGCTACGGGGTGGCGAGCTGAAGCTCGCCAGACCGAGATCCACTGAAGTGGGATGTTTCATCTGAACATTGTTATCTTCAACTTGACACCTTGGGAGGATAGGTAAATATCAAAAGCTCAGAGCTTTTGGGAAGAAAAACATGTCCAAATGGTTGAATGAAAAAACACCTTGGAACTTGCAGTGGAACTTGCTTTACACCTTTACGGTTTAATCTCCCACATTCCCATGATATCCCATCAAAGAATCATGTATACGTCTCGGCCAATCTAAGCCACTAAGCCAAGTGTACAATTCATTCACAAAACGAGCGACCAACCATCTATATGAATTACAATTGTTCTGCCTACACATGCTGTGGTGAGCCCACCACAAACAAGCAAAACTGCAAGGCGAACAGACCCAAAAACCGAGACTCAACAAACTGAAGTCTCGAACGTCCGATGATTCGTGGGTTCGCACTCACCAATCAAGGGATTTGATGCGGGTGATCGGGTGCTTCGTCCCTCCAAATCCCAGATCCATGGAGCTATACAACCCACCCGCTGCACCAGTCATGTCGGATACACCTCACTGCAGCACCCACGATCATGTGGGAAGATCCCACCACCAAATCCCCATGCCTTGAGAGTATCCAGCATGACATCGCCCCGTGCCAAGCGAGCATGACCCTCGCTGTCCGCCACCAGCGCGTCGAAGACGCCACAGAACTGCCTCGGATTTCAATACAACGACAGTCACGAGGCGATCCAATGGGAGGTCACTCCCATCCCAACCACTTGATGCATGCCATATATCGCTATACATCTCCTCCAACTCTGGAGTTTGAACACAAAAAAATACCACACACGAGCGAATTATTATGGGACTGCCATCATTTGTCAATCAATTGACCCCTAACAACATCAACAACCCCTGCCCAGTCCCATGGATTCTCAGGCATTTCCGATGTCTTCCTTGGTGGGGTTATGCACGGGCCGTGCGTACCCCGTGTTCTACGGGGAGGTGTGCAGCGATGAGCTCGGCTTTGACCATCCGAGCCATCTGGCACCCAGACAGGATGTTCCAGGTATAGATGTAATATCGATCTACCAGCAGCTTCATGTCGGGGCAAATCCACAACCCAATCCACCGTGGGAAGTGGAGCCCGCTGTGGCTTCCTTGCATGGGTGGCCACGTGGTTTGTGCTGCCTGATCTGCTACATGTTTGGCACCTGGGGATTGGTAGAGATGTGGTGGCCGGCTGTTTGCTGAATTTACTTCGCAAGCGTGGCCCAGAGGCTTACTTCAGGGGGGG